GCCTACCTGTTATATTTCTTTTGCTCAAAAGCAGCCCTGGAGAGTTTGCTGTAATCATCCAAATTAATTTTTTGGAGTGTTTGGAGTTCTATGACAGTAAGTGTGCAGTAATCTCTGAACAGGAGAGAGATCTTCTACTATGGCCACATGACTTGCAGTACACTTCAATACAATCCTCATTGATGCATAAGAGCCTGCTTTAGGGGTGATATGATAACAGTGTTCCAATCTCTAAGGGGCTGCCACAAAGAGGAAAGGGTCAACATATCTGCCAACGCACCTAAAGGCCGAACAAGAAGAAATGGATGGAAACTAATCAAGGAGAAATCCAATTTAGAACGAAGGAGAAATTTCCCGACAGAACAAATAATCAATGGAATGGCTTGCATTCAGAAGTTGGGGGTGCTCCATCACTGGATGTTTGTTTAAGAAGAGACTGGACAGCTGCTTGTCTGAAATGGTATACGATTTACTGCCTGAGCAGAGGATTAGACTAGAAAACCTCCAAGGTCCCTTCCAACTCTGTTTTTGTTGTTCTTGTTATAACCTGATTGCAGCATATTGGAAAGGGAGAGAGAGTGCTCAAGGAAATTCATGATATTGTAGATAAATAGATGGATAGGATGGATAGACAGAGACAAAGTTAGACACAGAGAGAAAGAGAGATTATAGATATAGAGATTATACATACACACACACACTTGGGGATTTTTCTTCTTCTTCTTCTTCTTCTTCTTCTTCTTCTTCTTCTTCTTCTTTCTTCTTCTTCTTCTTCTTCTTCTTCTTCTTCTTCTTCTTCTTCTTCTTCTTCATCTTTTTTTTTTGTTTGTTTATTCCTACTTTGCTGTTCTAATCCATTCATTTTCAAACATAAGGAGGCCGGGAAATTCAGACACAGCCATTGCCTCTAAACTGTTTTTCCTCAGTTGTGTGCATTTGAGTTGTCAGCCTCTGAAAGATGAATTCCTAGGCATGCTGCAAAATTATACCTTTATATCAGCAGTCAAGGATGACCAAAGACTGACCTTTTGCACAGAAATAAGAAAAGAAGATTACACAGATAGAGCAGCAAAGCACAATTTGAAATCAATCAAGTGGAATACGGATGCCAGCTATACCCAGGTTGCCAGAGGTGTCACAAACTTTTCCAAATCGCATTTCCAGTTTCAAACATGGATAGTTGTGAGGCACAGAGCATAGGCTTATTTTTATGGATACCAAGTCACCAAACCTTGAATGAATTGTAGGATGAAAGCTTCGCTTCTCCTCAATACGTCTTCATCTCAGTATGTCTTCTCTTTTTTTAAAAAAATTTTTTTAATTTGATTTATATGCTGCCCTTCTCCGGAGACTCGGGCAGCTTACAATGCATTAAGCAATAACCTTCATACTTTTGTATATTTATACAAAGTCAGCTTATTGCCCCCATAATCTGGGTCCTCAATTTACCTACCTTAGAAAGGATGGAAGGCTGAGTCAACCTTGAGCCTGGTGAGATTTGAACTTGCAGTAATTGCAGGCAGCAGATGTAAGTGGATGTTAATTAGTCTGCTGAGCCACCAGAGCTCCTTCCAAACTGATAAAATTAAGTGTATTTCACTTAGGTTTTTTTTTTTAATTGAAAAAGTTTTACAAATAGAAATTTTCCCCCTTTCCCCCCCGCTTTCCCTCCCTAACCCTCCCTTACCCTCCCCTCCCCCCATGGCTTCCCCAGGATGAAATCCAAATCCAAATCACATTATATAATACTTTACCGCCCATCTACTCTACCCCCTGTGTAGTATACATTTCTTCCTGACATTCTAGTATTCTATCCCCTATATACTACACATTTCTACACAACATTCAACTAAAAGTTATCTAATACTTCCTAATTTAATATTTATTCTGCACATAATCTATCCATTTCCTCTACTCCCATACATAGATCTCTTGGGTCCAGTCCTTAATGTATGCTGATATCTTCACCATTTCTGCGAAACTGGCCACCTTCAGAGTCCATTCTTCTATAATAAACATAACATCCCTTTTCCAATATTGAACAATCAGTAACCTATCCTATCACCATATACCATATCAATTTTGTTTCATCCACTTTCCCGCAGGTCCAGCATATATAATAATTTATAGCATCTAAACAATTACATCAAATCCTTCTTCCAACAGTGTATTTAATGTCTTTAGTTGTCATCTGCCCCCATCATTGCACTTAGGTTTTTTCATATGTGTGCTATTCTCAGTAAAGATCTGTTCACAAGGGCTTCCCAAACCTTTCAAAAGCTGCTGCTCGGATGGTAATCTTTAATTTGACCCCCCCAAAAAAAGGAAGGAAAAAAAATCTCATTTGATTAAACTATGCTATTTTTATTTGCATTTAAATCTATTCATGTTAGGGTTTTTTTTTTCCCTTGAACTCACCATCTATTTGGAATGGGCTGACCACTCGCCATTGAAAGAACAAATGTGCTCTTTTCTTAAATAACATTGTTTGTTTGTTTGTTTGTTTGTTTGTTTATTCCTTCCTTCCTTTATTAATTATATTTCATATTTCTAACTTCCCCATCTTGCTATCTTGAACGAAACCTGTTTATAAAGCCAATAAAAGTATTTGCTTTGAGTTGGAAGTGAAATGATAAAATGGTTAGTCAGGTAGAATCCTGGCAAATAATTATCTGCTTATCTGGTGAGCCATACATTGGGCAGGGGGTTGTTAAGAATAAAATCCATGAAAAAGGACATCAGGACTTGATCATTGAAACTAATAGGTTTTTTTGGGGGGGGGGGGGGGGTTGGTATTGTATTGTAAAGATATCAGAGGCATTAATTTTAAAAAATCATGTTATTATGACATGCCTTTCTACAAACACATATTGTGTACTGGCTTGCTCAAAATAAATGAATGCCTTTTGAAATTAATATTTTATTGGAATATTAAAAGTATTTTTTTTATTTGCAGGGGGTAGTGGATTTTGTTTTTCATTGGGGTGCTGGTTTCCCTTTCGTTTTTCAACTGACATGTAGTTAAAAGTATGGGGAGTAGAGAGTTTGGTACAAATGAATCACACTAAGAAAAAAAAATTAAATAGAGCCATACCAAGCAATCTTGCTAATTCTCACTAGAGAATCTGTGTCAGAGCAAAATTTTATTCAGAAAACAAGAGTAAAAAGCAACAACAAAATCATTATCTCTATTTATTTGTCTATCCATCCACGGTATTGGCTCACACAATACATTCAAAGTTTCTGCCTTTTCACTAAAGACTGTTCCCTCCCTATCTGTTGAGGTAATTACATACTTATTTATTTATTAGAAGTAGCAGCGCTTCATGTTGACTCATTAGATCACATTTATCCAAACTGTCAAGTAGTAATAATAATAACTTCAACATATATTCAACATAATCCTAATATTGTCATAAATATCATCACATCAAAGCAGTGAGATTTTTCCCAGTTCAGAAACATCTTTCATGATCACTTCAAATGCACACTTTAAAAACATTTAAAACCAGAATGCTGAAGGCTAGGAATGAAGATGCTGTTCTTATATTCCAGTGGTGGGCATCCCATAGAATAGAGTTTCTGCAGAGAATGCTTATCTTAAGGCTCCTCTCTCGTCACACGAGTTTTGTAGACTCACATCAAGCACTATCTACTGGCATCTTTTGAGTGGGCAGATGCATTTGGAACAGGTGGTCTCAAAGCTAGCCAGACTCCAACCTACATAGGATTTACAAGGTGATCATTAGCATCCCAAAACAAACTAACAAACAATGAGGCTCCAACAACATTGGTGTTATATGGCAGTACCGAGTTCTCTCAGTTAATATGTGGGCAGCTGCATTTCATATTAGTTGCAGTGTTTCAATGATCTTCTAGGGTAATCTCAGGCAGACTACTTTACTATAGTCTACCTATACTAGCACTGTGCCATTTTGTATTGAGCAGTATCCCCAAGAGAGCCAGAAAACTGTAGCTTGCTGAAATGATTGTGAGATTTTAAAAAATAGAAGACTTATATCAGAATGGGTTAATTTACAAAAGTGCATACAATCATCCAGGCAGACAGAAAAGCAGTGCTGGTCTACCTCTAATGAATGTCATTTTTCATCTTTTCTATTCAGGCTACTTCCTAATCCAACTATACTTTGTTGTTATGGTATGGTGGAGTGAAGTAAAAAGTAAAGTGTAGAGTAAAGTAAAGCAAAATAAGCAAAGTCTTTCCATCTCCAACAGAGACAGGAGGATCAATTCTCATGCTGACATGATTTATTTATTTATTATTATTTATTAATCAAATTTCTATACCGCCCTACTCCCGAAGGACTCAGGGCGGTGAACAGCCAAGATAAAATACAGATAATACAAATATTAAAAAATCCCTTAAAATTATTAAATATATCGGCCGAAACACAGATTAAAACACCCAATTTGTAAAATCACGAATTAAAAAATTTAAAAATTTAAAAGATGGGAGTTAGGCCAGGCCAGCTTGCTGAAATAGAAAAGTTTTGAGAGCACGGCGAAACGTGCGCAGGTCCGGGATCTTCCGTATCTCTGGGGGGAGCTCGTTCCAGATGGTAGGTGCCCCCACAGAGAAGGCTCTCCCCCTGGGGGCCGCCAGTCGACACTGTTTGGCCAACGGCACCCTGAGGAGCCCCTCTCTATGGGAGCGTACTGGTCAGTGAGAGGCTATTGGTAGCAGAAGGCGGTCTCGTAGATACCCCGGAACGATGCCATGGAGCACTCTAAAGGTGGTAACCAAAACCTTGAAGCGCACCCGGAAGACCACTGGGAGCCAGTGCAGCTCACGCAGGAGGGGGGTCACATGGGAGCGCCACGTCGCTCCCATAACCACCCGCGCGGCCGCATTCTGGACCAGCTGGAGCCTCCGGGTGCTCCTCAAGGGGAGCTCCATGTAGAGAGCATTGCAGTAGTCCAAGCGGGACTATATATGATAATATATATATATATATATCTCCCTTGTGAATGTTTTTTAGAGATGTCAAAGGCTCAATGAGTGTCCCTGACTACTGGCAAAGAAGGGACATTCACAACAATTCCTTGCAAGGTAACAAAACGAGGACAGTCCAAGACTTCAGCAGTAAAGTGTTAAAAGAAAAAAAAAACTCAACAAAAAAGAAAGCATGGTGACAAGGAAAAGAAGGTAATTCAGTTACGTCTTAGCGTTTTGTACTTAAACCAATTATTGAATACTTACCAAGATAGAAAATATTGTAAAATGAGTAAATAAACTAGATAAATAGAAAGGTCCATGACATCTGAAATAGTGACATCAGACATCAGAATAGCAGAATTTATTTATTTATTATTTATTGGTTTGATTTATATGCCGCCCTTCTCCGGAGACTCAGGGTGGCTTACAATGCGTTAAGCAATAGCCTTCATACTTTTGTATATACCTGCTTAGTAGGGCTTTCGGCCCCCCCTAAGCGGTGTTCTTTTTTATACAAAGTCAGCTTATTGCCCCCATAATCCGAGTTTACCTACCTCAAAAGGATGGAAGGCTGAGTCAACCTTGAGCCTGGTGAGATTTGAACTTGCAGTAATTGCAGGCAGCTGTGTTAATAACAGGGTGCGTAGACCACTGTACTATCAAGGCTCTTTAGCAGGTATATACCTGCTTAGTAGGGCTTTCGAGGGCCCCTAAGCGGTGTTCTATTTTATACAAAGTCAGCTTATTGCCCCCACAATCCAGGTCCTCGTTTTACCTACCTCGGAAGGATGGAAGGCTGAGTCAACCTTGAGCCTGGTGAGATTTGAACTTGCAGTAATTGCAGGCAGCTGGTGCTATTTAACAGCACTTTAGTCTGCTGCGCCACCAAGGCTCTTTTATTTGGAAGGGACTTTGGAGGTCTTCTAGTCCAACCCCCTGCTTAGGCAGGAAACCCTACACCACTTCAGACAAAGGGTTATCCAACATCTTCTTAGAAACTTCCAGTGTTGGAGCATTCACAACTTCTGCAGGCAGGTTGTTCCACTGATTAATAGTTCTCCCGGTCAGGAAATTTCTCCTTAGTTCTAGGTTGCTTCTCTCCTTGACTTTTGTCAGGCTGCCTGATGATGATGTTATCCATTCAGTTATGTCCGACTCTTGGCGATTCTATGGGCCGGGTTTCTCCATGTCTTCTGATTTTGCACTGCTTCTTTGAGTTGGTCTATGCTCTGGCTGACAGCAGCTTTGATAGTGTCCAGCCCATGTGTTTTTTGGGAGGCTGGTTTCCTTTTACCGTTAACACTTTATTTATTTTATTTGTTTTAATTTGTATACCGCCCTTCTCCAACAGGACTCAGGGCGGTGAACAGCCAGAATAAAACTGAACATACAAAATTTAAAAACAGTTTAAAAATAATTAAATATTTTTGGCCACAATTTAAAACAACCCAATTAAAATCAATTAAATTTAACCAAAAACTGTGGGATCAAGACAGCCCGGCTAGGTGAAATAAATAAGTTTTCAGGGCCCGACGAAAAGTCCAGAGGTCTGGTATTGTACGTATCTCTGGGGGGAGGTTGTTCCAGAGGGCAGGCGCCGCCACAGAGAAGGCTCTCCCCCTGGGGGTCGCCAGCCGATACTGTCTGGCAGACGGCACCCTGAGGAGGCCCTCTCTGTGAAAGCGTACTGTCCGGTGGGAGGCTATTGGTGGCAGAAGGCAGTCTTGTAAATACCCCAGCCCTAAGCCATGGAGCGCTTTAAAGGTGGTCACCAACACCTTGAAGTGCACCCGGAAGACCACCGAGAGCCAGTGCAGCTTGCGCAGGAGAGGTGTCACATGGGAGCGCCATGACGCTCCCATAATCCCCCGTGCGGCCGCATTCTGGACCAGCTGGAGCCTCCGGGTGCACCCCAGGGGGAGCCCCATGTAGAGAGCATTGCAGTAGTCCAGGCGGGAGGTGACGAGTGCCTTTCAAGCATAATCACTTTCTCCAGTAAATTCCCCCACAGGGCATGGCCAAAATAAATGAGACACAGTTTTGTGATTTTGCCTTCCAGTGACACGTCTGATATTATGTGCTCTAGTACTTGTTTAACAAACAAGTACTGGAGCACAAGTACTTGTGCTCCAATACTTGTCACTTTTGCTGTCCAAGGACTTACGTGCTTTCAAATGAACCCAAATCACTCAAGATCCCATTGATCAGCATTTAAAGGCTGGAGATCTGTCGCTTCTATGAGAGTCACATGAAGAATTCTGAATATGTTGATGCAGAGTTTTCCTCCAGTGTTGGGCTAATGGAGGAAACTATTGTTTCAGTCTGTTTCTGCCAAAAAAATGAACTATGATTTATTTCTAATTTATTTTTGGTTTATATCTAAAGTTGTTTAGAGGAAATCAGAAATAAGTTTACCTGTCAGTACATAGTTTCAGCATGTAATCTTTAAGCTGAATGGCATTCACTTCCAAATAAGAACAACCTGGTCCATCTGTTTCAGTTTTGAATATGTTTTGTCATCAGTAACTAGTAACAACAAAAAGCAGTATTTCACATTTATTTTATAGGGTTTTTTTTGTACTCCCAACAGAAGGACAGCAGCAAAATGCTTCCATTTGCACTGATCTCTTCATATTTAAAATGTTGGCATTGGAAAATTCTTCCTGACAAGCTGGGAATCCTGGCAAATATTTTCCTCCATATATCTCTTGACTCAAGAGAGGTCTGAAAATTTGTTCCCCAGATTTCTAGTCAGTAATTAGAGATTTCTGAACACATTTGATAATTATTTTTATTAGCAGCCTTTGTTCCTTCTCCTTTGACCATGCTTAGAAAAGGCACAGATGTTCTAATATTGCTTCTATGTTCTATCTAAGAATTCCTGGGAAATGAGTCATCTACACCTTTTCAAGGACAGCTGGCTGCTGATACTTTCCTCACTTCTAATAACCAGCTAGCACGTGTATACCCTGACCATCTCCACCTAAAGCACAAGAGCAGGTAAGTATCAAAGAGAGGGAGGAGGGAGGGGGAAGGGAGGGAGGGAGGGAGTGGAGAGAGAGAGAGAGAGAGAGAGAGAGAGCATCAAGATCACAAGAAGTGATAATATTGCTTTATACTGCATTAGTGAAGATACACTTGGAATACTGTGCACAATTCCAGCCACAATAACTGGAAGTGTGCACACTATTTGAAGTCTTTTGACTCCTAGTCCAAGTCCAAGTCCAACTTTGACCAAGTAGTCAAAGTAGTAGTAGAATACTACTTCTGGTAGTATTGGTGTAGAATACGAACTTCCCAGTTTCTCTAAAGGTTCCCTCCTGATTCATGCTCCCATAAAGCATGTTTTCACATCCTCGGCCATTATTTTGTTTTTGTTTTTGTTTTAATCTCATTCTGAATCTTTATTCCATGACATGCTCTGTCCTAAATTGTCCCTTGCTGAACCCACGCAAATTCAGAGACCCATAGAGACGAATGCTTGCCTAGAGAATGACTTTCTGTCTCTCACACGGAGACATATTCACCTGCACCACCCAAACCCTTTTCTTCTTTCTCTTCCTCTCCCTTTTGTTGTTCCACAGACACTGTAATAATGGCAAGTTCCATTTTCTTTCCTTCATCAACTTACAACGTTTCCACACTTTTCCCTTAGATTTATGCCCTGCTGCTGTCTCCTGCTGACCACGCGAAGCGGTCCTTGCTGTGGTGCATAAGCGCCATCTAGTGTAAAACACGGACAGTCCATATCCGTGCATTTCAAGAGAAAATAGTATTCCTATTTTTTAAAAAAGATATATTTTTAAATGATCCTACAGATGTTTGATTCATTTGTGGTTATCTTTTGGGACATATTTGTTCCTATGAATACCCAAACCACGATGATGGTTGGCATGTTTTTTTTGCAGAAAACATGCTGGCGATCTCAGGTGAGTTTAGTATTTAAGTCTTATATGTTTAAGTAAATATCATTTAATTCCCTGCATTCTGAAACCCGGATTTAAGTGATTATTGGCATTCTTGGACGTTCACAAAATTCACTTGGATTCATGGGCATCTGTACATGACCGGCAAGGTTCAGTATTCTTCACTTTGGCTTGTTTTCTCTTCTATGTTATTGCAAACCTAATCAACTGACATCATAGAGGGAAAAAAATTAAGCCATTGAAGCACAGACATTGATGGATGTGCAGCTACTGAAATTGCTCTTAGGTCAAACCAAGTGAATGAATCCTGAAGAGTGTAACATGATAAAAGTGCAAGTAGACTTTCCAGCTTGAAAAACTCAACGTCACCACTTAAAAACATTGAAGGCATAAAATACAGAGGGTGGGGCTGACTCCTGAGATGACTTACACTAATCAGACTAGTTGTAGTTTAGCTAGATGATAAACAGGAATCTTCTATGTTCTTCCTTTAAAAGTTCTTGCTCTGCACTAAAGCTTTATGGTGGGTTGTTTGTCTTGATTTTTATTTGTCTATCTAGCAAATTTCTATACTGCCCATCACACTCGTGTGACTCTGGGTGGCTTACGAATAAAACAATCGCATCATATCAAAACCAGAGTTAAGAACTAGACTAAAACATAATTTTTTAAAAATTGGAAAATTAAAAGCCTGTAACTCACCAAGCAGCCCAAGTTTTCATGACACTCTTAGACACTCGACAATAGGCCAGTTGACAGAACCAGGTATTGATGCACTTCTGAAAGGTTACGAGATCGAGGATCTTCTTCATATCTTTAATATGGGTTAACCTTGTAAGAGCCATGGTGGCGCAGTGGTTAGAGTGCAGTACTGCAGGCTACTTCTGCTGACTGCTGGCTGCCAGCAGTTTGGCAGATCGAATCTCACCAGGCTCAAGGTTAAAACGACAACTGAATGAAAAACCGCTGGTGACCTTCTACCGCTGCACCATAGAGAGCATTTTAACTTACTGCGTCTGTGTATGGTTTGCCAATTGCACAGTGGCAGATAGGACAGCGCTCCAGAGGGTCAAAGTCATTGCCCAGAAGATCATGGGTTGCCCTCTCCCCTCTTTGGAAGAGCTTTATAGCTCCTACTGCCTTAAGAAAGTTCGAAATATTCTTAAAGATCCATCTCATCCTGGGCAACCTTTTTATTTTATTTTTATTTTTTTGAACTATTACCGTCTGGCAGATGGTACAGGATAATAAAAACAAGAACAAATAGGCTGAAAAACAGCTTCTACCCCAGGGCAATAACCATATTGAATTCTACGGTATAGTGCAATATTGGGTTTTCAATTTCAATTATACAGAATGTAAAGGATGTATGTTTGTGTTTTTATTTTTATAGTTATAATGTACACTGAAGATGGCATTTAATTTCGTAGTACCATGTGCTATGACAATAATGTAAACTAAACTAAACCAAACTCAGCCTTCCATCCTTCCGAGGTGGGTAAAATGAGGACCCAGATTGTTGGGGGCAATATGCTGACTCTGCAAACCGCTTAGAGAGGGCTGTAAAAGCACTATGAAGCGGTATATAAGTCTAAGTGCTATTGCTGTTGCTATTATGGGTTTATTCATGGTTCATAAGTTTAGGGCTAAGTTCATATATCATGCTGAGTATGTACAGCTTGTTTACCTTAGCATAAAGGTATATGAACCCCATTATGATTTCCAAACATGCTGTATATAATTTAGCCTTGTGCATGAACAAGATCATTTTAGTTTGATGGACAAACCATGGTTACCATAAATCATGGCTGCTCATATCATTGTCTGACCTTTATATATAAAAGTTCTGTCCATCACATATTTTGGAGGAAGAGACAAAAAGTAGCAATTAGTTATCTGTTAATGAACTGCATTTGGAGAAAAGTCTACATTGGTTTAACATAGGAAGCCAATTTTCTGTTAAACAACCCTCAAGTGAAATGCTGTTATTATTTGAATCACCATAAAATTCATATCTAGTTTAAAGGTAAAATATAACAAATCCAAAGAGTTTCAATACCTGGAGATCAGTCACAAAGACTTACTGCTCAATGTCTTTATCTCTCCCACTATGTTTATGTCTCATATTTTCCTTAAAATATCTAGTCATTATTTTTACATTTGAGCCTACATTTATAAACTAACACACACCATTTCAGCCCCTTCCCCTCCCACAATCCTGAGGTTTCCATTTAAGGTAAAGGAAAAGGGTCCCCTCGCACATATGTGCTAGTCGTTCCTGACTCTAGGGGGCAATGCTCATCTCTGTTTCAAAGCCGAAGAGCCAGCGCTGTCCAAAGACGTCTCCGTGGTCATGTGGCCGGCATGACTAAATGTCGAAGGCACACGGAATGCTGTGACCTTCCCACCAAAGGTGGTTCCTATTTTTCTACTTGCATTTTTACGTGCTTTCGAACTGCTAGGTCGGCAGAAGCTGGGGCAAGTAACCGGAGCTCACCCCGTTACGCGACACTAGGGATTCGAACCGCTGAACTGCCAAGCTTCTGATCGACAAGCTCAGCGTCTTAGTCACTGAGCCACCGCATCCCTGTTATTTTCCATTTACTATTGGGTAAATGGTTATGAAACCACTAATATTAAACCTGTTAAATTTCCCAGTTGGTTCTCTTCAATGCCAATATTCCAACAAATCATAAATTCCCATGAATAACATTACATAACAATAACATAACAATAACAATACATGGACAATGGCTATTTTATGAACAGAACCTATCTACATCTTCACATATGCCTGGGCTCCTCCTAGGAGAAGCACAGACTATTAAGCAATTCATTTGATATTCTCCTGGACGTCAAATGCAATTGGGTAGGTATTTCATTGTGTTTTGACATTAATTGATGGACACCTAAATTCTTCATAACTCAGCAGTGCTTCAGAGTGGAGGAAATTAGAAAGATGAATTTCTAAGAAATGAACCCATGGAAGGGAGCTGGGACTGCAAATTCATTATAATCAGTCGAGCGAAGAACCGTGACACCAAGCATATAAAGTGATGGGTGGTGGTGGTTATATGTGATAATATGCTTTGTGAAGCAGGAAAACAGACGAGAAGTTGGCTCTTCTAGAAGCGATTTACCACTTTATGTCAGAAGTCTGGTATCAAATTTAAGGATATATTTATCCAGTACAACAGACGTAGACGTTTGTGGGAGATATGTTTCTACCGTGGAAATGGTAACATTTGGAATTGTCACTTTTTCCCCTATTTTCCACATCCTTCAGAAGTCCCTTTAAATCAGAGGTCTGCCACCTTAAACACTCAAAGAGCCATTTGGACCCGTTTCCCACAGAAAAGAAAACACCGGGAGCCACAAAACCCTTCCCGTGCCTGACTATTTCTTGAGCGGCCACAAAACTAGCATATGTAGTTGAGTTAAACATTCTGTTTTCTTCTGAAACTTTTCTTTCCTTGGATTTATCCATGGTTGGCCTACTGGGAGTTGAAAAGCTCAATAAAACCGCATGTCAGCAGGTGTTGCACATTGGCGGTTGTGACGCATATTTTGAGTGACAGGGAGCCGCAGCAGAGGGGTGAAAGGGCCACATGCGGCTCCAGAGCCGCAGGTTGCCGACCCCTGCTTTAAATGGAGATATGAAAAGCTGGGAAATTCTGGATATTCTGTACTAAGAGAGTATTAAATTACTCTCTTGTTGTTATTGTGCACAAATAGAACACCATGGCCTTAGAATTATTTTGAAACAACTATTTGTTTCTGTGCAGATAGTGTGATAGGACCATGTTAACTATGTCAACTATCATGTCTTGCTAGTTCTTTGATGTAACAGTTTCCTGGTGAAGCAGTTGGGTCTCTCCAAACTTTTGAATGATGTCCAAACTCTGGGAGATGATTGCTACTGATGAGTCACTTTTCCTGTCAATGGAATGAATCTTCGGAATTTAGAGCAATCTAGGACTGTGTTGATACAGT